AATTTTATTCATTGTATCAGGAGGGCACTAAACTACAGTTGGTTAAATTGTATAAAATATGTACATAGATATATTTTAAATTAATAAACTATTATATTCCAATCATACATTACCAGAATGAAGCCTATAAACAAATATCCGAGGGGAAAATTATTTTATGGTGTAAGCAATGTAGAGTCACTTTGTGACTGAGGTAGCATACAGGTTGACAAATAAATAATAAATAAATGTGGAATTTAATCTTTTTCCACAACTGGGACTTCTTCAATTCTGGCAGTCATTCTCCCAAACTATCTGTTAGTATCTCAGAAATACAAATACAAATGGATTTATCTAAAAATGTGTCATTAGATATGTTGACAATGGCAGCAATACCTTAGTTGATCCTCATCCATTCCCAAAGGTACCCTCCTCATATAGATCCATCCGCATAGAGTTCATCATGAGATGCTACTGGCCTTGAGCTATCAGCTGAGTGTCATTAAATGCTCACTCTTTTTATACTTTTTGTATATCACAGGACTGAATGATGCTAGCTACAGATTAGGAATCAGATCATGGCCAGACAATTTTAATACAGAAATATCTATTCTAAAAAGATTTTAATCATTTTAATTCACTAAAGTCTAGTTTTCATTTAGTTTCTAATTTGATTTTAAACTGGTTTGGTTTACTGGATTGTGTTTATTTTGGAAGTGCTATTACATTACATACCACCAAAGTCAATATGTTATAAAGCAAACAAATAATGTACGTATATGTGTTTCCTAGACTATAAAAATATAAATTTGAGTTTGACACAATTCAAACTGAATTGCAGTCACTGACCTAAAATATTTGTAGATGAGAACAATATTAAAATATTGTTAAAGTACATTTCCCATGGCACTGTAATAGTTTCCCTAATCCCAAGTGCAAGACAAGAAATAAGAAACTGGGGGCCACCAGACATTGCTGAACTAAAACACCCAGCATGACTAATGGTTAGGAAGGGTTGGGAGTTGTAGTTGATGTTGAACTTTGATGTTGGAATATCATGGATAGCCAAGATAACAACACAAATGGATCATCAAGGAGTTCAACCCAGAGTTCTCATTTGACATGTCAATGACCAAATCTAACTATCCAACATCAGGCACATTATGTGAACACCTAGCTCTTTAAAGAAGACTATAATGCTAGAGAAGGTGGAAAGAAAGAGGAAGATGAGAAGCAGCAAGATGGATGGACTCAAAGTGATGTGTAAACCATTGGAAGACTTGAAGGACCAGGTTAGGGATAGCAATAGTATTAGTGTTAATAGTGCTTTATAGCCTTCTCTAAGCTGTTTACAGAGCCAGCATATTGCCCTTAACAATCCGAGTCCCCATTTTATCAACCTCGAAAGGAAGGAAGGCTGAGTCAACCTTGAACCATTCAGCACTGAACTGCTGGCATTCAGCAGAATTAGCCTGCAATACTGCATTCTAACCACTGCACCACCACGGCTCTTGTGATAGATCAGGGGTAGTCAACCTTGGCTCTTTTATGACTCGTGGACTTCAACTCCCAGGATTCCTGAGCCACCTGTGCTGGCTCAGGAATTCTGGGAGTTGAAGTCCACGAGTCATAAAAGAGCCAAGGTTGACTACCCCTGTGATAGATCATTATGGAAAAAAATCTATCTACATGGTCACTGAAAATCAAAAACAACTTGATGGCACATAATAAATCAGCCCTTTCCCCAATAAAATATGTCCTTTTGCCTGTAATAATGTTGTCTAAAGATGGAATCAGCTACAAGTGTTTTGATGGGGAGACTATCTGTAATAAAAATGAATGTATTACCAAGAATTTTATTTCTGTTTCAGACAATACCAGTTTTGACTTTGGATTTTACCCTTCAAACAATGGCAGATAAAGATATCCAGATTTATCTGGCAAGGGGTAAAAATTAAGACTTAAACATAAGATCTTGTGTGATGCTAAAGAGTGGGGAGATTTAGGATTGCCAGATTGCAGATCCTTGCCTTGTTTGGTTAAAAGAATTGATAATGTTAAGGGATACAAGGTTACTAGATCTAGAACGCCATGACTTGAGATTTGGATGGCATGCATACCATGGTACGATAAAGTTAAAGTTAATGTTGATTTTAGAAACCACTTTATAAGGCGAGCCATTTTGAGAATTTGGAATAGATATGTATAAATGTAATTATTTATAAATATAAAATGAGATTATGCCTAAAAATACTCTTATGGCTTTTTCCTCACAAAGCATATTATAGAAAGGAAATGAGGGTTTGACAAAAAAAGGTTAAGGTATGCAGATTTATTGGATCACTCGACAGAAGATATTGAAGTCCAGAGACACCTGGTGTTAGAAAGTTTCAATTGTTAATGTTTTTCCTATTTGCAACCCACAAGAGATTTAAAGTTGATAAGAAACTGTATGGTTTCAAACATAACAAAACTATTTTTGAAACAGAACTGTGTAGAAATGATGAATACCTTATCACTAAAAAGTATAATTTTTTGTTAGATGAACTAGTTAAAAATGGTCTGGTAAACTGGGCAAAACATTTCAATATAACATATCAATTGGTAAAGGGACTGAAATTTTCTTTATGCTTTAACCTCAAAGAGAATTTCTATAAAATGAGGTATACATGGTATTTATCCCCAAATAAAATGGCTAAAAGTATAAAGGATCCCCAAATAATTGCTGGAAATGTAAGACTCAAATATCAAATTATCTTTTGGTCTACCTTTGGTAGACTTGTAAAAGAGTTAAAATATATTGGAGGGAAATTAGTAATGTAATTCAAAAAAATTAAAAAAATTAATTTAGACCAGAAACATTTTTGTTAGGATTTATGGATAAAACAGTGGGGAAAATCATTTGTTTTATTGTTATATATGATAACAACAGCATGACTTTTATACACTCAGATATCCACAATAGAGGAATGGTTAATAAGGATGACAGAACTGGCAATGATGCCTAAGTTAATGGCCCTTGGGAGAGAAAAATCATTGAAAAATTCATCTATAATTGGAAGCCCTTTACAGACTTTTTGCAGCAAGTAGAGAAAAAACAAATTTGAATATATGAATTTGACGAATGTTAAAATTTAAAAAGAAAAAACAAATTTTTTTTATTATCCCTTTTTGGGGGGGATGAAATGGACATTTTATTACAGTCTTAAACTAAGGATAAGTGCTCTGCATATCCACAGAAAAAGAAGTTGGATGATTCGTTGTATATATTTGTGTTTTCCATTCTTTTTTTTACATTTTTTTCATACTTCTATCCCTATTCTTTTTTTACTCTTTATTGCTTCTTTTGATTATTAGTTCATGTTGTTTTTTATGTGTATGCTTTGTAAAATGTAATAAAATTATTTGAAATTAAAAATAAAAACATATAAGGAACGGTTGCTAGAATTGGGTATGTCTAGTTTAACAAAGAGAAGGATGAGGGGGGACATGATAGCAGTGTTCCAATATCTCAGGGGCTGCCACAAAGAAGAGGGAGTCAAGCTATTCTCCAAAGCGCCTGAAGGCAGGACAAGAAGCAACGGATGGAAACTAATCAAGGAGAGAAGCTACCTAGAACTAAGGAGAAACTTCTGACAGTTAGAACAATTAACCAATGGAACAACCTGCCTCCAGAAGCGGTGAATGTTCCAACACTGGAAGTTTTTAAGAAGAGACAGGACAGCCATTTGTCCGAAATGGTATAGGGTTTCCTGCCTGAGCAGGGGGTTGGACTCAATGACCTCCAAGATCCCTTCCAACTTTTTTATTATTATTATTATTATTATTATTATTATTATTATTATTATTATTATTATTATTATTATTATTATTATTATTATTATTATTATTATTATTATTATTATTATTAAATTTGCTACAGGGGAAGCGCATGATGACCTTGTCCAAACAGAGACTACTATGCATTTACAATGGGCAGAATCCAAGCCCTTGTGTCAAAAAATCCAGGAACAATCCATACAAAAAAGATTTTTAAAAACTCAATTGTTGCCAATGGAAATTTTAAAAAGAAAATGAATACAGTACAGCAATTCAGAGCAAATGATGTTTAAACAAAATGGAAGGGGGAGAGGAATAGACTTTCCCATGTTAAACATCACAATTTGTGATCGTTGGTTGATTAGTTAGTTAGTTAGTTAGTTAGTTAGTTAGTTAGTTAGTTAGTTGGTTGGTTGGTTGGTTGGTTGGTTGGTTGGTTGGTTGGCTGGCTGGCTGGTTGGTTGGTTGGTTAGCTTGTTAGTTAGTTAGTTAGTTAGTTAGTTAGTCAGTCAGTCAGTCAGTCAGTCAGTCAGTCAGTCAGTCAGTCAGTCAGTCAGCCAGTTAATTTAAAAAACAGAATGGTACAGGCATGAAGGTGCAGAAGAAGGGTTTCATTAGTGCTGTTGCCGGGATGATATATTTAAAGACGATTTATGTAACATCACAGAATTTCTGAATTAAAAATTCAAGATTACCCAGCGATACAGACTGCACAAAAGTCAAAACTCTGAAAGGGCCAAACTTCTGGAGAGCCAGCAAGGATCTCATCATCCATCCATCCATCCATCTTCTGTACATCTAGACACATTGGTTCCCATTCCCTTCATTGATTTTTTTAACTTTTTCAAAATATTTCAACACAAAGATATTGATTTTCATTTTAACAATAAAAACAGATAAGGGGAATATAACACATATGATGTACTGTTTTCGTTATTGTAATCCATTATATAATTTAACTGAATAAAAATGCAAATTGCAAATTTGCAAATGCAAATGTTTAAAAGTAAGTACACTCCTACATATACCACTCCCTCAAATAACTAAAATTAGAAATAGGTGCATCAGATCACGTGCAAATGATTAAAACTTTTAAAATTGCTCTCAAGATCACCTGATTTTTTATAAATATGTTTTACTTCATTTGAGTTTTGATTTATGTTTTATTTAAAGATATGGGAAGAATTGTGCAATGATCAACCATGGAGAAACAAAATCAGCACGACACATGCCTGAAGCATCACTCATACTCGCAGTTCTTTGGAGTTGACATCAGAAGCAACAATTCCTTTCCTGGCCATGAGCCCAGTCTCTTCATTAACATGCAGAAATTCCAGTCATTGAAAAGGATCAATTACATATACAGTAGAAAGGCACTCAAGGTCACGGACAGATCCAAGAAACTGACTTTAGGTAAAGTCAGATCCAAGAAACTGACTTTAGGTAAAGGCAGATAAAAATCAGGATTGACCCCCAAGAAAGGAGCTCAGAGGTTCTACTATTCTTGTTGTAGTATACCGAGCAACATAAAGATTTCTCAATGTCCCATTTTTAAATACTAAGGGCCTACTCCAGTGTATTTAGGAATCCTAGATCTTATTGATTATGTGCCACTAAGTCATTGTCAATTCTTAGCAACTATATACAAAGATTTTCTCCATAACAATCTATCCCTAATCTGATCTTCCATGTCTATCAACACCCATTACCATTGTAACTAAATGCATCACCTTACTACTAGTTATTCTCTTCTTCTCTTTCCTTCTATTTTTCCCATCATTAGTGTAGGAGACAGAAAATATAGCCCATCAATTCATTAGATTTGATAAGGCCTAAGTAACATAAAGAAGGCCTCACAAAGACCTGAATCAAAGTTTCTAACTAGGATGGTTTCATAATACAAGAGAACTATTTGTAATCTGCTGAGCTGCTGTAATTTGCATAATATGATTTTGCAAAATAGATAGTTTTATAAGTATATTTGGAACAAGAACATTGTAATCGTGGGAAATAGGGAACTGAAAGTAGCAGATGGATGACGGTTTCAGATGTACACAGGTTTATGTGGAAAGTAATGGTCAGCAAGAAAGAACAAGAATTGATTTTGTAAATGTTGCAAGATAATGTCCCTCTGTGGGTGGCCATTAGGAAAAGGATATAAAAGATAGAGCTCAAGATCAGCTCATGGCCACTGGCCTATAGCTGTCCTTGCTGGACCTGCTATATCACTGGACCTCATTATTGCAATGAGTTAATGTGAGTGATGTGTTATTATGTTTGCTATGCTCCAAATTATTAGCAAAATAAACCTCTGAATCTTAAAGTAAGAATTATTACTTTGTATTGCTGTCTCTTGTCTTTTTCATTGGGTTTTTCCACGACATTAGAGCCTTCTTAAGAGAACTACATCTTCATTTCACATTTATTGGAAACTCTCTTTCTTGCCAGGGGACTCATACAAAGCATAGTGCAAAATTATAACCTTACTAAACTTCTCCTTCCAGGATCCTGGCTGTAGTTCCCACCAAATACCATGCAATCTGTTCCAGCTTCTCTGCAAGAAAATATGGGGAAATAAAAAGGTCTTTGTTTGTTTAAAAATGCTAAAATGGGTTCATTGATCCTCTTTGGAAATTCCATAATTAGAGTGCAACCATAGAAAAAGCTCTCTCCCTAGTAGAGACCTACTTCATCTGCCTTTGGGTTGGGGAAATATGGAGGAGGTCACAGTAGGTATAAATGAGAGAAGGCATTTCTTCAAGTAGTAATGTGCGAGTTGAATTCAAGCCAGTTCACTATTCTCTGTTTAATTCATGTGAACAAAGTAAAATGTCCTTTAAGTTGAGTGTAAACTTTGTGATTTTATGAACAGATCTGGGTGTAGTTTACTCGGAAACTATAGAGAACTGGTTTGTCACTCCCTTCTTCTGAAATTCATTTCTTCTTTACTTTCCAGTCTAGAGTAACCAGGTCCTATGAGTGATCCCTCTGTATTAAAAATTCTGCTTCTGTGTTTTTGTTTTACTTTGCCAATTAATTCAACAAAATACTTAATGTTTAAAGCATGTTATCTTCCCTGAGAACATGACTCTCTGGAATCTTAAATACATAGCATTTTTCTTTAAATCAGTCTCTGAGAGAAAAAGTATGTTTTTCTTTTACAGACAGAAATAATATCCAAAGATTCTAATGTTAGTTTAGCATGACAAAGAATTCACATAAGTAACTAACCCATTTCCATGTAAAGGCTTGCACATTATTTGTTTAATAGGATTTTCTGAATCTTAAGCAGGAAAGAAACATCTATTTAAACCATCTGAATAATCAGAGAGCTAAACTGGCTTCAACAAGACTTCTTTTATATTCTTCCTAATCCTAATCTAACATTTATTTATAGTCATATCAAATGTTTTAAAAAAAATAATGAGCAAATATTTTCAACCTATATAATTTCTCATGTCAATTAACCATATTAACTTTATTTCCCTTCTCAAAGTGAGGGAAAGCTAAAGGAGGAAGCTATAATTTTAATAAACCCTTATTTCATGATCCTTCCTGGGTCAGAGTTCTACAGATATTGTGTTACCATACAGTATATTAAAGTCAGGGTTAGTGTGAAGAAAAAGATGTTTTCTGTCAGTAGTTATGATTTTCGTCTTCTCAAAAGATCTTTAGCTCTTCCGTCCACAGGATTTTCCTTAATTTGTCATAGTTCTAAAGCAGAATAGGTTTCAGCCATCATGGCAGCATAGTTTATGCCTGCATATTTTTCTATCAAGTCAAGAAATGGTGGATAGCACATTAATTCAGCTGTGAAGAAGTAATCTCTAATGTTGAGCCAGTTGAACAATATCAAAGTATGTTATCTCATTGTTCAAAACAAGAAGGTAGTGTTTTAGGATGAGTAACATGTAACGCCATCGTAAGTTTAGGATGAGTAACATGTAACGCCATCGTAAGTTTTGGTATGTACTGACGATAACCCAGGTCTTTATAACCCAGGGCAAATAGCTGGAAATATTCATTTCCACCAGATCCTGTAAGAAGCAGGTAAGAGGGGGTATTGATATATTTGGAGAGTGACAGTGCTAGAGAATAGTGAGAGGTCCAAAGAAGCAAAATGGTCATTAGATGGCAGACCTTTGATTTTCTTCTTTTAGAAATAGCTTTAGCATGTGAATCTAATCCTTCTCAGTGACATCAGTTCAAGAGGGACTATCCAAACAAAGGGGTAGAAAACGTCTTCCAGAAAGAGGACTATATTTTACCATCATTCTATCTTTGTGTATTAGGATGTATAGTACATGTTTCTGATTCCCAAAAAAATAAAATAAAGGAAGAATAACTCATGTGAAAAATGAGGTAGGTTACAAAAGAAAGAGGTCATCTTCTGAAAATATACCCCCTTTTCCTCCCAAAATTGGTTGTTGGGTAATTTTGACCAGCAGACTTAGACCCTTTACTAATCTAGTGAAATACATCTTGCCAATATACGAACAAGGTGTTGTGAGAATCCTGAAAATGAGTTAATTCAGTAATTCAGCTATATATTTTGTTCCAACACAGCCATTTAGTTAACAAGTCAGGGAATTAGATAATATAAGCTTTATCCTGAGGCACCAATGATTGATGAGAAAAATCAAAAGACCTGGATATTGAAAGGACAAAATGAAGGGGGTCCATGGAAGTGATCATCAAATAACTGAAAAGTTTTCACATAGAAGAAAGTGGAACAAAGTTGTTTGCTATTGCTTCAGAGGGTAGAATTTGGAACCAGCAGATAAAAATGATAAGAAATTAGGTTTTCAGCTATATATTGGGAAAAGGTTTTAATGGCTGAACTGTTCAATGCTAAAACAGCCTTAGGAATCAGGAGCTGTTTTTCGCTGGATTCATTTAAGCAAAGATGATTAACCATCAGTGAGATGCAAAAAGCTAAGTTGGAAGAGCACTGAATAGTTGTGGTAACCACTACCAGCCTTATCATATCATTAAAATTAAAGTAAAGGACATCTATTTGAGATCCTGTGTGATATAGTAGCTCTGGAGAAAGCCAGATTAATCTGAAAGCAACAGCTTTCCTAAATTTTTATGGAAAGAAATTGATTTAAGCTCTATCACTTAAGCTCTTAGAGAAAAAGTAGGATATAAATACAGGGACCATATGTCCTTCTTTTTATAAAGCTGTTTTTCATTTCAGATAGCTGTCTTCAAATTTATTTCATCTAATTATTTATTTTCTTGGTTTTGCTCTTGAATGTAAAAAATGATTTGGGATTTGCCATTCAGATGGTCTGCAGCCTAGGTCCATATAAATTTAAAGCCATTTTGCAAACTTCACCATAATTTGGTTCTAATTATGTAGGAGAGGGAATGATGGAGCCTGGGGGAGGAGTGAAAAGAGTTATTAACCTAGAATCCCTACATAGCCACAAAGTTCACTACCACCCCCTTGAGTGCCACTGTCTCTTATTTAACTCTAATCAGGTGCTGACCATTAATTGAGAAGATTTCTGTGCCTAGACTTTTAGCAATAAATCAATTTAATTGAATCTTCATATGTGAACCTGGTCTTTCATACCTGACAGACTACTCATTTTGGTTGTATTGTACCCACTGCTGTCACGCAGATATCACCAGATTGCCTCTTAGAGTCCATGCCTTGATCTAGAGGCTGTAAAGAACTGACATTTCTAGTTTTTTATGTCTTTACTCTCTGTGTTACAGTTTACTAAACCAATACCAAAAGATTGAGATTGAAGCAGTACAACTGCTGTCCCAAACTGACTGGAGCTGAACTAGTTTGGAGGCCTTTCAGATCACAACAGAAAGCAGCTATGACTTTTTCACCCATTTTACTCATTGTCTGGTTTCTTCATCTGACTAGATTGCAAGGTATGTGGGGGAAGGCATATTTAAGGCTATGTAAATCCCCCCTTTTAATTCCTCCATGGCTTTCAAAGGAAATAAAAATGTGTGTGAGATAAGTAATAAATGTACAGAGGAAAAATCACAAAGTCAAGTTGGTAACTGCAACTGTGCAATTGAAATCACATCTTTATGTGTATTTTTTTTAAAAAAATGAATGGGCCTTTGATTATATTGCCATGCCTGTAATATTGAGTATATTAACTCCCCAACCTCAGACACTCCTGCTCTTTTAACAAACTTTTAATTCTTAAATATTTTAATGATCCTGATTTTAATTTAGGGGCTTTATTTTAATTGCATCATTGTTATAATATTTTTATTCATGTTCTTTTATTGTTGTACATAAATAACACTTCTATAAACAAAAGACCAGGATATAAATTTAATAATGCATAAAATAATAACATTACAATTTTATCACAGCATGTCTTCCTAGAAATTCCTATATGCACCCACCAAATCTAGACCTGATTACCTTCAACCAAACTGATATATCATATGCTCTTAAACCATAGTTAGGAAAGGTTACTGGGTTATGACAATATCTATTGTAAACAGAAATGTGGAAAACCCATTACTGTTTCCCAGGCAAGGAAAAAAGGAATAAAGATGGATGGTTTTTTATTTGATTGCACTGGGAAAGAGAGAGTGATAAATATTTGGACAGTCAATTATTAAGCCAACAAAGTCACATATAAATGCACCACCCATTTCCATTCTCAATAACTTTTTATGAGACTAAAGGTAAAGGTTTCCCTGTCCAGTTGTGTCTGACTCTAGGGGGCAGTGCTCATCTCCATTTCTTAGCTGAGGGAGCCAGCATTGTCCGAAGACATTTCTGTGGTCGTGTGGTCAGCAAACTCTATATGCTGAGGCACACAGAACAATGTTACCTTCCCACAGAAGTGGTACCTATTTATCTACTCGCATTTGCATGTTTTCTAACTGCTAGATGGGCAGGAACAGGGAAAATTAATGGGAGCTCACACTTGAGTCTCGAACCCGGACTGTCAGCTTTCCAGCTGACAAGCTCAGCAACTTTAATCGCTAAGCCACTAGTTACAGTATGTGCTGTTAAATTTTTGATTGTTTTACATTCTCCAAGTTTAAGTTCCCAATCAGATATTTTCAGAATTGTATCAGTCTTCCAATGTTGAACACAATTTATTCTGACTGTTGTAGCACTTTTGACCATTATATGTATATTATATATACATTATATATATAACTTTTATAAATTAATATTTATATATAAAATTAAATAAAACTACATATAAAATGAATATATTTGTTTATTTAATTCAGAATTGAATTAAATAAATTTCTGAGGGACTCCCATGTGTGTGTTTGTCAGCTATTAAAAATAAAAGAAAATAGTAAAAGAAAAAGAATCAAATTATATCTCATTCTTCATTAATTGGAGAGTATTGTTATGTTTACTTATTTTGGCTAGGACCCTTCCAAGCTAGAAGGTGAGGGATGAGTGTCTTAGGAGCTCACAGTTTTATTATTCTTCTGGAAGCAGTTTCATACTGCTGCACCCTTTGGTATATTTGTGTGATATCACAATGCATATACAAAAAGGGGCAAGGCTTGTGTTACAAGACCACAGTGCTGCTTTGATCATTCTGCCCTCCCCTCCCCTAAAGGGCCCTCGTCTTGTGGGTATTACTGAGCGCAGGCCTCTCCATCCACCACATTGTTTCCTTCATGGTGCACAATAGAGAAAGGATCACTTGGTGTCCTCTTTCCATCTCAATCCTATATCTATTGCAGTAAAAGGATTAAATTTAGAATAATCAAAGCCACTCCTTTGGGGACTGTTTATGTTAATCATCCACAGCATTGGTCTCAGTGGCTTTGAGAAAGTTCTGTGCCCTTTATATAAATATATAGATAGTGTTTTTTTCCCTGGGTGTGTTAGCTTGCTCTCTGTCCCATTTTCCTAGTTAACCATTTTGTTTTATTTTTACTGATGTTTTAATAGACATTAAGCTATGTTTTTGCCAGCTGATCTGAATAGCAGGTGTGCTTCCTCATAGGTAGGAAGTAAGTGAGAGTGTGCTGGGTGCAAACTGAACTGGAAATTATTCACAGTAATTTTCCAACATATGGAAGTCCACACTTTGCCATCTAACAAAACACGAAACACGATACTGTAAAGCCGAACCATACAGAATCTCCCTTGACCCACTGTGGGAAGCCATCAACAAACAAAAAATGACAACAGCTCTCTTCAAGTAAAAATAATAAAATGAGAAAACATACAGGTAGTCTTTGACTTATAACTGATTGGTGACTGACTGAAATTACAACCGCATTTTAAAAAGTGACTTACAACCAGTCCTCACGGTTACAACTGTTACAGCATCCTCACAGTCAGACGATCAAAATTGGGCCACTTGGCAACTGGCATGTATGTATGATGGTCACTGCATACCAGGTCACGATCACCATTTGTGATCTTCTGAGAGAGATTCTGACAATCAAAATCAGTGGGAGAGTTGGATTTGCTTAATGACCATGTGACCCACTTAACATCTGCAGTGATTCACTTAACAATCATGGCAAAAAAGGTTGTAAAATCAGACATGAGTCACATAATAATCCCCTTGCTTAGCAACAGAAATTCTGGTCCCAGTTGTAGACATAAGTTGAAGAGTACTTGTACTTTAGTAGCTGCAGGGTCAGCTTTTCCCCTGGTTTTGAAGTGCCTCTTGAAGTTAGAAGAAAAGATACTGAAATGGGCAATATAAACTAGGTAGGACTAGAGTCCATTTTAGCCCATTTGTCCTTGTTAGCCAGCCATCTTTTAGCTATTGGCAATCTGCAATAACTTGTCAGACGTATCAATGTTTCAATATCCCAAGAATGGACTGTAACCAGAATCTCTTATTACATTTTATCCTTTTTAAAATCCCTTGTATTTTTTTTATCTTATTTGGAAAATTAAGGTCACTTGTCTTTTCTTTTTCCAACAGGTGCTGCTGACCCAGATATAGGTAGGGATTTCTATGTACCCTAGAAACTTTCTGTATAAATTGGCACTGGATTATGAAAATGAAACCTGCTTGCCTTTTACAAAATCTTAGATATATTATTATGTTGCTTCTAACACAATATAATCTTCAGAACCATTGCTGCAACTCCAGTTGCAGCTTGTCAATTAACAAGTTAGACAAAGAAATGTTATAAATAAGACATAATATAAAATAAGGAGTAGGTTAGCTAGGTTGCTCAACAGTGAGACACTGGTGAAGTGGGCACAGCAGTGCCTGCATTTTCTGTGTCATATGAGAAAAGCATATCTTCCTTCCCCTGTCCTTACCACTTTCTACAGAGGGATGATTGAAAGCATCCTGTCGTACTGTATTGTATTACTGTTTGGTTTGGAAGTATTATTGTTTTGGACAGGAAGGCTGTGCAGAGAGTGGTAAGGACAGCAGAAAAGATTACTGGAAGTTCACTTCCTTCTATCTAGGATATGGCATGTAAACACTGCTTCACCAGGGTCTGCAATATTGTTAGGGACACTACACATCTTCTTCATGATCAGTTTTCTTTGTTACCTTTTGAGAGGAGGCTTCGTGGTATCTGAAGCAGAACAACTAAACTCTATAATAGCTTTGTACCATATAGTATCAACTTTTTTTTTAACTCTCAGGATTCTTTTTTCTGCTACGTATTCAAAATGGATATGTGTGTGTGTGTGTGTGTGTATGTGTGTGTGTGTATTCTTTTGAGAGCGGGCATCATAATTTTATTTTTAATGTGTGTCAGTATATACATAGAAAAAGTGACAACAAAGGTTATATTGTAATATCTTACAATGCTTTGTTCCTTGACAAGTAATTCATTCTTTGACCATGATTGAGTTATCCTCTTCCATGTTAAAGAAGAAACCAGGCTTTTTCTTGGGACTGGATCAAAATCCATTGTATGAATTAAGTCTATTGCTGATCTAAACACAGAGTGGAACACATACTGAGTCGACAAATTATATAGATATGCATATTAAGTATTAACTCGTTCCTCTGGAGACACAATCATTGGAAATATTCTTCCGAAAGTCATACAAAATCATTCAAAAAGAGAGAATTTGTTTCTTTCAGGGTTTCATCTGTTGAACTTCAGAGGTTTGGGGGAAAGTTCCCTTTTGTTCTTATTATAATCCAAAATCTAAAACATTTTTTTTTTGTTCCTGTAATGTTCAGGGAATATTTAGAAAGTGGTTGAAAGACAGTGACTGGCCAAAGTGATCCAGAAGCTTCATGTATAAGATACAACTAGAACTCACAATCTTCCAGTTTCTAGCCTGATACCTTAACCATTACACCAAACTCTTCTCCCTCTCCTTCTTTCTTTCCCTCATCTCTTCTATTCTGCTCTTTCTTAGCAGGTTGTAAGAAGTCACTAAACTCTCCAAGAATTGTTGGAGGCCAAACAGCCTCTGAGGGGTCATGGCCCTGGCAAGCAGGCCTTTCAATATTCAACCTAACTTTTTGTGGTGGCACTCTCATAGACAAGCAGTGGGTGCTGACAGCTGCTCATTGTTTCATTTGGTAAGTTACTGAACCATAAAGCTAAGTGAGAAAAATAGATAGATTCTATTGTTATGATGCTGATCTTTTTAATAAACTAGAGTTTCCAGGAAACAGCTTTATTATGGTTTGTTACATAGCCAGATATTTACACTGGCTTTGGCATTTTTATCCCTCTATCAAGTTCTTCCCAAAGACATGGAATAGGCAGATGTTGTTCGATGATGTTAAAGGTATTGTTGCAAAATGTAATCTGTTCCAAGTAAAGCTGCCTTTTGCAATTGACTAATGGTGATTTTGTCAATGCCAGTGGTACTCAAATGGTCCTCCAGATGCTTTGAGATTGCACACAAAGTGGCTATTACTATTGGTACTACCTTCACTTTCTTTTGCCAGTCGTTCTATTTCCGTTGGCAGATCTTTGTATTTAGTGATTTAGTGATCTCCAGTTCTTTCTCTTTTATTCTGCTGCCTATAGATACTACCACATCCACTATCCGGACTTTTTTGTCTTTCAGAAATGTTCACACAAGAGTCAAATGAAGACAATAGCATTGAGTCAGGGCCATCCTACTGACAATCCTTTTATGCTTGCATCACAATTAGAGATACATATATAAAAAGACCCCAACAATGCTTTTGTCATTTTTTACCAAAGCTTCAGATCCTGCCTCAGTTATATATTAATAAAAGAGTGTATTACTGTACACCAGCAGCAGTCCTCAACCTTTCCAGCTTGGCGGCCCAGCACAGGGGGGGACTGTGAGTGGCAGGTGCACACATGCACGCACAACTTCATTTGTGTGAGTGGCATGCATGTACGCACGCCCTTCACTCATGCAAATGGAGCTTCAGATGGGAGCAGCAGGCAGTTGCACTCATGTGTGAAGCTCTACTCCTGCAAATGGAAGGTGCTTGAGTGAAGGGTGCTTGTGCTTGGCATGAGTTCAGCTTCATGCATGTGTACACATTTGCCTGCTGCTGATACATGTGGAGTGTGCCCATTTCTCCCATGGCCCAGTTTCAAACAGACCACAGCCTGGCAGTGGGCCACGGCCCATGGGTTGGGGACCCCTGATGTACACACTGTCACTGGAGGGTACTTTCCCATTGCATATTATTTAATGTACACTTTTTGATTCTGTATGTGGAAATCAGAGCTGGCTTCAGATTAAGAGTAAATAGGCACTGGCTTGGGGAAGCCAAAACTTAGGGGTACCAATGCCAATAGTTCCAAATCATTCTATAAATTCAAATCTCCACACTGGCAAGAAGTGAAGCTATCAGTCAATGTGGTCTAGGGATACCATGTACCCCTGAGCCAACACTGATGGAAATAATATACAAATGAGTAAATATTGTTCTTTCCTGCCAAACTCCAATAAGGCTGTTGGCATCTTTAAATGTGGCTGAGTTGGATATGAGGAAACATGCTGAAATTAAATGCAGACAAGATGTGGTGCCTCTGGCAATGCAAATGTCAGGAATTTTTTCAGCAAATCTTAAAATCCTGCAATAATCTTAATAGGTCCGCATCCATAAATTGCTGTTAACATTTTTTTAATTGTTAATACTTACAGGATCCCTGAAGACTTTGACGAAATTTTTGTGGAGCTAGGTGGCCACCAACTCATGAACCCTTCAAATAACTCAGAGAAAATTGCCATCCAACAGATCATAGTTCATCCTAACTACACAGCTGATGACACTGTGTATGACATCGCTTTATTGAAGCTAAATGACACTGTGGATTTCACCAATTATATCTTGCCTATGTGTCTCCCAGAGTCTTCTGTGGAGTTCCCTGTCAATACCAGCTGCTGGGTCACTGGATGGGGAAGAACACAATCTGAGGGTGAGGAAAGTGGGAAGTGTGTTTTATGTGACACCTTTTCATCCTTTCACATCTTTCATCTGTGGAACTTGGTATGTTTAAAGATTAATTTATTTGCTTATGACACTAAAGTAACTTGAAGTTACTTTAAGGACCAACAGGACATACTTTAATTTATGAAGATGCTGGAGAGTGTTCCAGATACAAACCTGAGAGAACAAGACCGTTATTTTGCATTGACACTGAGACCGAACTAGAGTTTTGCATGAAATACTGCGTAAAGTTACACAGTAGACTTATAAATCAGAAGGAATCTGATAGGACCTTTTTAATGTAGTAAATGTTATTAAATGGCATGAACTTTCATTAGATACATGGAGTAACCAAAAATGATGTAGGATTTGGATGGGGTGGGATGGAGGACCACAAAGCAGGTTAAATCACATCATGCACTGGTTAGGCTGCTTTAAAGGAGGAGTGTCAAAGATTTTCTTTTTAAAAAAAAAAAGTGGCATGCCTATTTTAGGGGGTATCCTTTATATTTCATGTGTTCTCCAGTTCAAAATAGTTTATGTTGGTTTCCATCAACCAGACAGCTTGGAGAGCAGATATAATCACAAGACTGTGTCTTACTCATCCCTTAGTCAAACTTATAGCACATCGGCTAAAGAACTGGCAGCTGCAGTGCTTTTTTTGTAAAAAAAAAAAAAAAAAAGTGCCAGAATTCACACATGTCATACAACCCGCCTTGCCTACCCTACAAGGTTCCATCCAAAAAAGGTGCCGGAACTCCATTCTGGGCGTTCTATGAGAAAAAAAAGCCCTGGGCAGCTGTGATCTCACATCATTGTATATGTAATAATGATATGTGTAGAACAAAGTGGTTGGAAAATTTTAGTCTTCCTTGTTCCATCATAATTTACTTTCATCAGAAAACTAATGTGCCTATATTTCTTGTCCTCTCCTGTCATGTTTTGGAAGAGAAGAGCAGTAAAATTTATGAGAAAGAAATAACACTGTCAGGTCTGCCATCTTCGGCTTGGCACCTTGCTGGCATCCTGCCATCAAAGCATAGGAGGGAGTAGGGGGACAAGGGGGGAATAAATGGGCAATCAACCTGCATGTGTACATTTAGTTCTTTAACAAAAACTAGTATGGCAATATTAGATATAGACAATAACACAGTTTCCAGCTGAATGGATCTGATGTTTTCAAAAATGTAGGCACAAATATAAAAGAATCTCAGAGGTGCCGAGATATACGGCATTTTCATTCCCAGGAGATACTTCACTTGTGAAGTTACAACATGTATAGCTGCCGCAGTTGTCATTGCACTTATCACTGGCTCTGTTAGCAAGAAGGCAGGGGGTAATGACATCTTGATGAAGAGCAGGAAAGCTCAGAACCAGTCTGAGCCACCACCCAAGGCCATGCACCCTGAGAAAGAATATTACCCTAAACACCTCAGAATTCTCAAAACATCTAGGTGGATTCTTGTTGGCTGAAGATGGACTGGTCATTGGGGGAGGGCTGGGATGTGAGGAAAATTTCTGTATCTTTTGAACACGGGAAATTTAGTTCTAGCCTGACTTTACTGCAGCCAGCATCTTTTAGTAAAAGAATCTATCACTTCAACCAAATGGAGTTGAGTTCTTTATTTCCTAAGGGATTGGACTGGGGCAGATCTGACACAACACTAATATTTACCTCCCTAAAATCATTAAACTGAATAGCAATTCTGTCTTCTGACAAATCTCAACAAGAAAAACTAAATTTGTTCTTCAAAATGAAGTTGAGGAATGTTGAAGGTTTGGCACAAAAGTTACAGTGAACATAAACTCAGTTACTTGTTCTCTGCATTTTATAATGCAACTCTTTCCTTTCTTTACAGTGGACCTGGAGCCTCCCCACGCCCTTCAAGAAGTGGAGTTGTCTATCATCAATACAGACATATGCAACTTTATCTACAATGAGCTCAATGTTACAAAATTGCCCCATTCCCCTGTCAGGCCCGGTATGATCTGTGCAGGTCATTTAGAAGGGGGCAAAGATTCTTGTCAGGTAAGATGTTCAAAAACTTAGCTAAGATTGCATGACATAAGACAGTTAAATTTGTAGTGGTTGAACTTGGGTAATGAATTAAATTGGATTAGTTTTAATCTTGGTTGGGTGGTAGGGTTGCTAAGGACCTGATGAGGTACATGACATTAATCCTTAATGTTGCTTTATGGTTCCATGTATTGGGCAATAAGTATTAAGTAAGTAAGTAAGTAAGTAAGTAAGTAAGTAAGTAAGTAAACAAATTAAGTTTGTTGTACCAACCTTGTCAATGTTGACATGGAAAACTTATGAACCTGCTCATAAAGGATGCAGAGTTCTCCATATATTCCCAAGAGCTTCCTTCACTGATGGAAGTATGGGTTCAATGCTCTTCAAAATCAACAAAATAGGTATGGGAAATCATCAGCAAGAAGCCTTATATAATGTCCAGAAAAGCTCCTCAAGATTAGGCTCCTGAAATTTGATGATAAGCTTCACAAGGATTTTCAATCAGTGAGATGATTCCTGCTATATTTTACTAAGACAGAAAACAGAGAAGCTAAGCCTCTGAGAAACTTAATGAAACCACTCCACAAAACTTGAAAAAGTATTTAAAAATTAGCCAAACATTTTCTGATCTTCCATCTCCAGTAATTATAAAGAACATAGGACAACATAACATATTGCACTAGCCTGCATAAGATCAAACTTGCTCAGCTATGTGTTAAGAGACCAAATCTTTAAAATGCATTACTGACTCAACTTGCTGTTGTCCAAACATTTTTGACATGAATTCCTATGAATTCCTATGAATATGAATCCCTAACCAGATTTAAAGTCCAAGACACTTAAGAGGGCTGGCCCATCCATATCTGCTTCCTTTGACTAGTTCTGAAGAGGATCTAAGGAATAGTAATAAATTTATATGGCTTTCACTACGACTTTGGATTTCATTTTGAATAGGAGTTTCAGAGGACCTAGGATAGCCAGATGATTCTGGGAAAAGATGTGACTGCTTTATGATGTTGTGAATAGGGACTAAATTCATACTCCTGAATGCCCCAAAGCTGCTTTTGGGAGACTTGAGTTCAAACTGTTGGACAATCCTAGCTGTCATCCAGTTAAGAAAGAATAGGGTTCATTTAGAAGACAATAATAAACATAGAATTTAGAACATACATAGTTTTAAAAAACGATCAAGATAGATGCAGCAATATTTACTATCTTAGAAGCAGAATTTTTCTTTCTCCAACAATGCATCAAATCTCGTTCACATTTTTTAATTAAAATATTGGGTCACCCTTATGGTTCTTCAGATGATATTTGATCATTTTTTGTGCAAGAGGATGTGATTAGAAACAATTACAAGTAGTCAGTAGTAAAGTGATGAGTAACAATAGTAGTTTCCCCCACAGTGGCACAGTGATACCATTGATTGGTCTTTTGAGGCAGCAAAGAAAATATTGTTATCTTGCATGGATGTGCTTATGTTTTGCAGGACAGTTAACATCCTGTTATTTGTTAACAATGTTAAATATGGTTAGCTTTTGAAGAGAGGGAGACTTAATGTATGATGCAAATCCAGTCCCATTTTACTGTGTCATCAATCAATATATTGCATTAACCCAAAAACTGTGTTTTGTGAACAAGCAATTACTGATGATTCTCAGGCTAAAGTTGAGATGTTTAGTTAAAGGAATACTTTGCTGCAAGGAAATTTGCATTTCAATTTCTCAAATCTGAATGAAGCAGCCTTCCTATAAACATCTGATAACATACATCTTTCTCTTTCCAGGGTGATTCTGGAGGACCTATGGTTTGCAAGTGTGATGGAAGTGAAAATTGGCTCTTGGCTGGGATTGTGAGTTGGGGGTTAGGCTGCGGTGTACCCGGTGTGCCTGGTATCTACACTTCAGTAGCACACTATTCTGATTGGATCCAGTTGCACCTACCCCACATAAAATTTTCAGAGTGCCCAAATGGAAGTAATAGTATAGGGCATAACACCCTTATCATGCTTTTTCTGATATCTGTGGGATTGACTGTCTTTTGAGACACTTAGACATCCCTCCTTCAGCCTACCAATGTCCCCGGAATGAGTTCTTTTTACACAAAATACTGCTGATGCAGCTCTATATAGAAATCTATACATTCTCCAAACTGGAGGCAGAGCAGCATTAAAGTTCCATTCAATATCAATGTGATATGGCTTACAACTAGAAATACTGGGAACAAAGATAAAGCTGATCATTCTTCAGGCTTTGTCTGGGAATCCTGATAGGAATTGCATACTATCAAATCCAGAGGTAGTTTGAGACCTTTCCAAAAACTTCAAAGCAATAGCACTTAGACTTATATATCATTTCATAGTGCTTTATAGCCCTCTCAAAGCAGTTTACAATGTTAGCATATTTCCCCCAACAATCTGGGTCCTCATTTTGCTGACCTCGGAAGGATGGAAGGCTGAGTCAACCTTGAGCTGCTCAGAATCAAACTCCTGGAGTGAGCAGTGAGTTAGCCTGCAGTACTGCATTCTAACCATTGCGTGACAACAGCTCCTGCTATTGCTAAACTGTCTCTTCCCTTCCCTGCTGTGATTACTGACTACTGCTAGCACTCTTCCCCCTAATACCATATAGCATGTTGTTGCTCTCCCCTCCCACAACAGACTTTCCACTTTTCCCATCAAAATGTATCTCCACACTACTTAGCCTGCCAACAAACTAAACAACAATACTTGGCAACCCATCAGGGTTTATTCAAGAAACATAGTCTGTTTTCCAATCGTCTCTGAGATCACTATGAAAAGACATTCACCCTTAAAACACTGAAGATGCTACAGTGTCCACCTGAAGTGTGGAGTGTTTCCTCCATTTTTTGTTTTCTTTGGTGGTCACCTATGTGCTCGGGTTCCAATTTGAACTTTGTTTGGCACCACTGATCTACAGAAGGCACCACTGTCAATATAAATTCATAAAAGAAGGCATTCCTACTTCGTGCCTGATTTTGGACATCATCTCAACATTTGATTGGCTGCTAGAGTGAGAACCTTTGACCAACTGTACCATCCAACTTGGCACTGACTGTCCTGGTTGGAAGAAGATTTATGAAGTCTCCAGAAGGATGCTTCCTGGCCCTGTTGAAGAGACCAAAGTGCAGAACTGTTCTACCACTGAACTAAAAACTAAAATCTCCAAGTGTTCTTTTACTAAGTGAAGTTTTCAGAAAGGAATGATTGTGCTAGAGCTACTGCTGTCAGAAGCCACTGGATTTAACTGGAATCAACTTATTGTAAAATATGTAATCTATAATTTTCTTTAATTATTGTACTTAATTCCCATCCCTTTCTTTCCTTTAACTTATTTTAATAGGTTATTTTGTTTGTTATTGTATTACTACTGGATATTTTTCCTTATATGTTATTTTATGCTGGTGGTGGTACAGAATAAATCTATCTTTGTAAAATTTCACTCTGGCGTATCATAACAATAAAAGCAATGTTCACTATTTGTAAACCCTTTGAGAGATTTAATTCAAATGATTAAAAGGTCTGTGACCAGATAAATTAATAAATTCAGCATGTAGGGTACTTTATAATGAGCAGCTGTTTAATTCCCATCAATATATTGGATGTGGCAACTGAAATAATTATTCTGTTCTTCCTTACATCCATTGCTATTGGTTTGGTTTTTGCAAAAACAGAGCACTATAATTTCATTGTTATTTATAATTTCATGGTCTAATGTTCACATTTTTTCTATGACTGTGCAATCACACATGGTATTGAATAAATATCTGAAATTGTTAAAATTTATTATAACATTATCAAACTCACAAACATACTCAGGACTTTTTAGGCTTGAGCATGCATTTAATTTTATTGGAAGTTTAATTGGCATTGTTATTGGGGGTTTTTAGTATCTCTTGAATGAATACCTTATTTGGGGAAATTATTCATTATTTCTCAATATTTAGATGCAGAATGTAAATTCTTGCTTTTCTTATTCACTGAGGAGTAATAAAGAAGCAGATTGCCCATGAAAAGGAAAGCAGTTAAAACAGCTCTATTTTCCAAATAGTTTTCAAGAACCTAGGTTATGGCTTAGGCTGTAGACATCTATGAATTTATTTTATCAGAATGGTTGCTGGATCAAACCAAAAGCCCTCTTAGATCAGATATTTAGTGTAATAACATAGAATAACAGAGTTGGAAGGGACCTTGGAGATATTCTAGTCCTACTTCCTGCTCAAGCAGGAGACCCTATACCATTTCAGATGAATGGCTGTCCAGTCTCTTCTTTAAAACCTCCAATCATGGAATACCCACAACTTCTGAAGGCAAGCCATTCCTCACCATTAGGAAATTTCTCCTTAGTTCTAGGTTGCTTTTCTCCTTGATTAGTTTCCACCATTGTTTCTTGCCTTCTGGTGCTTTAGAAAATAAGTTGACACCCCTCTTCTTTGTGACATCCCCTCAAATATTGGAGCATTGCTATCATGTCTCCCCTAGTTCTTCTTTTTTTTTTTTTATAAACAAATTTTATTGATTTTTTTGTTTTATCCCCCCAAAATAAACAAACATACAATTATGGCATAATACAATTAATTAAAAAAAAACAAGCTATAAAAACCTCCCATTCTAAGATGCTCAGTAACCTCACAGGAACACATTCCCTCTCTTCAACCTACTTCCCTCCTTCCTTCTACCTCCTTCCCTCCTCTCCACCCTCTCAACCACTCTACTCTACACATCCCCCCTCCTTTCCTCCTCCTCTTCCAAATGTGGTCCTGTAGGTCAATCGAGCCTCCATTCTTATACTAAAAAACCTCCTATTCTAAAATGCTCAACAGCCTCACAGGACCACATTCCCTCTCTCCAACCTACTTCCCTCCTCTTTCTATCTCCTTCCCTCTTCCTCTCCCTCTCAACCACTCTATTCTACAAATCCCCCCTCCTTCCCTCCTCCTCTTCCAAATGTGTTCCTGGAGGTCACCCGAGCCTCCATTCTTATCTCACTACCATTCTAGTATACCAAAATACATAAAAAATCCCTTTCCCCAACCCCCCCAGACTTCCCAGAACTGGTTACGGGATTAAACACTCATCTTCCTAAGTCTACATAAAACTGCCCAATATAAACTAATGTAATATAAACATACTTTAACTCTTTAAAAAAAATAATAATAATCAAATATAAACTACAATAATCTAACTACATATAACCAATCCATCTTCACCAATCCCTTAATCTTAAAAAAAAGAAAAGAAAACTTTGCCTTCTCTTCAATTCTTAGTTTTAAATCACCAATTATATATCATCTTATCAATATATCATAATATTTTATAATAAACAGTAATCCCTCTACCCCTTAATATACAATGCTAAAATTTTCCATTTATAGTATTTTTTTTTTCAAAAATCCCTTATAATTCCACAACACCACCATAATAACCATTAAAATATAACCAATCCATCTTCACCAATCCCTTAATCTTAATAAAAAAAAGAAAAAAAAACTTTGCCTTCTCTTCAATTCTTAGCTTTCAATCACCAATTATATATCACCTTATCAATATATCATAACATTAATAAACAATAATCCCTCTACCCCTTAATATATAATGCTATAATTTTCCATGTATAAGTATTTTTTTTTCAGAAATCCCTTATAATTCCACAACTCCACCATAATAACCATTAAAATTCAAAACACTTTTAAAATTACATCCCACAATATAAATTGATGCCAGTTACCATATAACTAAAGTAACCACTAAAGTTATTTCTTTAAAATTACATCCCAAAGTACCTTATCAATATATCCCCTAGTTCTTCTTTTCACGAGACTAGACATACCCAATTCCTGCAACCATTCTTCATATGTTTTAGCTTCCAGCCCTCTAATCATCTTTGTTGCTCTTCTCTGCACTCTTTCCAGAGTCTCAATATTTTTTTTATATTGTGGTTTCCCACAGTGGCCAACAAGATATCTTTAGGATATGAGTACATTTTCATATTGTGTTGGAAACAATCCATTTAAAAAAAAATACCCCTTTAAATGAAGGAAACTGTTTCCCAAGGATTGTTTTTATCTTATTTGTTTCCTTAAAATGCAGCCAATTAGACTGGGGACAGATTTTGTTGGGTAGTTGTGTGGCATGGTTACAGTGACAGAGACCATAGTAGAAAGCCATATCTTGTGGATTCCATCAGTTGACAATGTTTCAGGCAAGGGACCTGAAGTGTGTATTACTAAACATTTAGGATGCTTGAGTTACGGTCAAAAAGACTTTCTCTCTCTCTCTCTCTTCTTAATGAAATCAATGAAATAATCATCATATTAATAAGCAAACTCCACCTAAGAGACTAAAATAAGCCAAAATTCCTTGAAGCTACCTGCAAAGCAATGCAGTCTGTTAATGAAGAGTGAATTTCTATATCATCTTTCAGTTACATTATTGCTTCACTTACATCTGAAGTACTTATTTCAGATATAAATCACTATTTGTTGAAGCAAACAACATTTAAATTCCTGACACTTTATCATGATGTCCTTGGAGTACAGTAATATAGATGGAGCCATTACGTACACTAACAACAGAATATATTTTATTTAAGGCTTTCGTTACCTTTGATTTATATTGTTGTTTTGAATAACTTTCACTTTTCTGTAAGGCAACACGACATATTGTTGGATGGCGAATGTGCTTTCATTTGATTTACATTAACATTGGACTCTCACCACAGGGTTTTTGCATTTTATTAATTTGCAAAATATTTGGAGCTTATTTTTTATTTTTATTTTTATTTTGAATAGAAATATCCAGATAATATCTTCCCTGATTATTTATTTATTCACTTTGCATCAGTGTTGTTTTCATGCCAAGTTACACACAGCAACAATGTATCAGATTACGGAGAAGGGTGGCTGATATCTGGAAAAAGACTATTTGGTAACACACAATTTTTAGTTGAAAGCCTTTTTTAAAAAGTTTGATGAAATTATAATGACTGTGGAAAATATTCAGATGCATGTAGCTCTTGATGAATT